AAAATAGTTGTCCAATATGTACGAAGACGTTACCAAACAGCCCGCACTTAATTTTACGAAATTTCGAGAAATTAATTTTTGCAGGTCTTAATGTTTATATTAAGGCATACGCAGAACTCCTTTGGAGAATTTAAATCATCTATTTTTTTTTTTTTTTTAAAACACGACACAAATTACCTAAAATCTGCTCTGAGTCGTAAAATAAAAAATACAATAAAACTAAAACCTTATTGAATTATAAAAGCTTTTAATTGCTTTTATGCATAAGATATATTATGTAGACTATTGCCTTAAGAAAAACATTGTTTTTTGTTTCTTTTTTTCGATGAATTATGAATTTTTATAAGAATTGTTTTCATTTTATTTAAACTAATTAGAATAATTTATAAAATTTTAAGTCTTTTAAAATTCTTTTGTACGTGTCAGGTGATATTGTTATTAAGTAAAAACTATATTTACTAATGATAATTGGAAAAGCTACAATTTAGCGACCCCCGGTATTTTAAAAAGAATTTTGAATTTTGTGTGCGTGCTTGTATAAATGTATTGATTTTTGTAAATACGGACGTCCATACACGGCATTATCAGAAAATAAAAGCGGTAACTATAGTACATTTAAACCAAAGTACATAAAATTCAATAAAACATTAGATTACTTCGAATATTTATCTAAATTTTTAACATAAATGGGTACTTAAATTATTATATAAAAAAGGCGCTGACGTTATATTCGGCAAGGAATTTTTAAAGATATATCTTCCGTAGAAAAATTTGTTAAATTTCCCAAATATTAGGTTCTCAATATAGCTGTGAACACCTAAAAAAATACCCACCTAGTGTTAAAAATGCTTTTCTGTGATATTTTAAGCAAAAAGTAATATTTGCTTCAAATAAGATTAAACTTTAAATCATCTAATATTCCTCAAATAAAGTTTGAGAAAAGTATATTTTATTTTTGAAAGATTTTTTAATAAAGAGTATTACGTTAAAGAGAATTACACGGAATTTTGGAGTCTCCCTCGTAATCGATTCCGGATTAATAATAATAATAATAATAATAATATCTGTATTGGAAAACATGCAACTTTTACGGAAAGGAAATTGCAAGAAATTGGTCTGAACATCATCCGGTTAGAGACATAGGACCTGTAACAATTTTATAGGACTTTACAATATACACAGACAACAATCAAAGCTAATCTCCCAGGCATTGTGATCAAAGACCACAAAAACAGAATGTCCTTTCTTATTGACATGACAGTCCCTGCAGATTTTAATGTATCTTTGAAGATCTTCAAAAAACTATCAAAGTAAAAGGACCTTGAAATAGAAATTTCAAAAATGAGGACATCAACAATTTCAGTTGTAGTTGGAGCCCTCAGTTTGATTGGAAAAGGTTCCGATAGACTCACAAATACAGCCTGCGCCTTACGAAAGGCTTTATCTATGTAAAATGTGTGTAATCTTATTTTTATTTTTTTATTTTATTTTATTTATTTATTTTTTTGGATGTAAAAGTGTAAAATGTCATGATGGCATTTCTTATCTTAGGACCCGGAAATAAATGAGTATACAACAGAAATCAAAAGAAATAATAATAATAATAATAATAATCAACAACAACAACATTACTTACTCGTTTAGCGCAGTTTTGTCTTATCCCATTTATTCTCATTTATCCCGATTTATCCAATAATTAATGACATTTCTCTTCAGCTCGTAGGCGATCAAAGTTCTCTGCATATTTCTTTTCTTTATTAATTGTGAATTGTCATGACTTCTTTGGAGTGATAGTGGAATGTCTTCCTGATGCTTTCTACACTGCTTTTAATCCAGAATTGTTCTACTCGTAGACTGCTTGCCACCCAAGGCTAGAAAATTCAGTGAACCACGATATTTAACCCATAGCTTGGGGGAATAAAAATTGATTTATGCATTTATTTTAAATTATTTCACCTCAGCCAAGGCAATAAAGTCACTACGATGCATTACTGCGTGTGAAGGAATTTGAGGAAAAAAAGCACTATTAAGGAGAAAGAGCATTCAAAGAACTAGAATTAAGAAGACAGAAGATAACGATTGACATTGCATTTAAATTTTTGAAGATCAAAGTTGACTGGAAAGCAAGAGGCCGGAAGAGAGTTCCGCAAGCGAGAAGTGCGAGAGAAGAAACTTTTAGCATAGAACTTACGAACTTATTCAAAGGGTATCACAATGAATTGAAACGAACGCAACAAACTAGGCTGTTCAAATTTGAACTCGGCGCGTCGATTCCATTCCCCGCGCCGTTAAATCATCACGTCACCCGCTACTAAACAAATATTAATCTTACTTATTATAAAACGCAGATTGTGTGAGTGTGTGTGTCTGTACGTTTATATATTGGATTGGATTTCCTACATTTTTCAACCGATTTCAACAAAACTTCACAATACTGAGTAAAATTACCTTGCAGTGGTTCTGACAGCACCCAAAATTGGAAAAACACAATTGTTTTTGCATGAAATCAATTTGAAAATGATAGAACACAATTCTGTCGCCAGAATGAAAGGGGGACAACTCATATCGATACTTATTATAAAACCCAGGTTGTTTGTGTGTGTATTCGTTTATATATGTGATCGGATTTCCTACATTTTTCAACCGATTTCAACAAAACTTCACTTTTTCTTTTGGCAGGTAGTGTTTCTTGTCTTGCACACTTTTTTTTTATTTTACATTTAGAATGCTTTAAAAATTCCATTTACAAGACAATTGTTTATAATAAAATTCTATTCAATCGATAGACTCATAACAATTGAAAACAATGTTTTTGTTTGAGTTTGGGTTTGACCAATTTGTAAAAAAAAAACAAAAAACAAAAAAAAACTAATTAAGACATGCGTGTCTGTCAACCTTAAACAATAATCTTTGTCAATTTTATTTTTCAGTCTTTATGATGGTCGATACTTGATCTATTTCTTACTGTTACATCCCCGGGCAATGCCGGGCTCTCCTGCTAGTTACTTAATATATTTGCACAAAGGAACTAGCACATACAGTCAAATTACAATGCACTTACATATTTCGATTCGGTCTACATTTTATTGGCTGCCCGTCAACCTGAAAGGAAATTTGGTTACTACTTGCGATTGTCAGATATATATATATATATATATATATATATAGGTATAGGGTTCGGTAAATGAGATAACTAGATATTAGCGACCGTATACGCGAGTGCTGGCGTACATACGCTGGTAGGCAAATAAATACCAAATTTAGCCAACAGGTGTAGACATAATAGTGCTCAATGTGATTAGACAGAGCTAAGAAATATATATTAATAAATACACATATACCTACGTTTGGTGTGCGACTCGAGTTTCGTTGGCTACCAAACTCATCGGGCACAAGATATAGCTTATTGCTTCATTACTTTTAAATAAACAATAAGCTATATCTTGTTATCTTGTTCACGACGAGTTGGGTAACCAACGAAACTTAAGTAGCACACCAAACGTAATGGTATATGTATATATATATATATATATATATATATATATATATATATATATATATATATATATATATATATATATATATATATATATTGTGTCTAGGGGCTAAACAAAAATTCACAACACGCCTAATATCTCATTTCTTAACCATTTTTTCACTGTTTTCATATCCACAGGTGATGCGCTCAGCAACTTCTGTATCACAGATATATTTATACTATTGTTAGAGATTCCAGATTGACCTTTCTAGATAGATAAATAGATAGTGAGAGAGGGGGGGCGTTGGTGAAGAGGTTTAGATAGGTAAATGAATAATAAGAGGTTTAGATAGGTAAATAATATGTATATATATAGAGAGATAGATAGATAGATAGATGACAGAGTGATTTAGATAGATGATGGATAGTTTTAGATAGGTAAATATCACGTAGATGGTTAGATAGGTAAATATTAGATAGGTGATGAAGAAGTTTGGTAAGTAAATATCAGTGGAATAGATAAGGAAGAGGTTTAGATAGGTAAACAACAGATTGAGAGATGATAAAAAGGTTTTGATAGGTAAATAATAGATAGATAGTGAACAGGTTTAGATAGGTAAATAGATGATGAAGAGGTTAGATAGGTAAAATCTATTGAAATAGATAATGAAGAAGTTTAGATAGCTAAATAAAAGATAGATAAATGCTGATGGGGTTTAGATAGGTAAATATCAGATAGAAAGATGATAAAAAGGATGTGAGAGGTAAATAAGAAATAGATAGATAGATAGTGGAGAGGGTTAGATAGGTACATATCAGATAGATGATGAGGTTTATAAGGTAAATACCAGATAGATAGGTAAATGATGACGCGTTTTAGATAGGTAATTGATAGATGAGGAGGATATTTAGATAGTTAAATAACAGATAGATTGGTGAAGAGGTTTAGATAGGTAGATATCAGATAAATAGATGATGATGTGGTGTAAATACGAAAATACCTGATACACAGATAGGTGATGTTGAGGTTTAGATATGTAAATAAGAGAAAGAAAGATGATAAAAAGGTTTTGATAGTTAAATAAGAGATAGATAGCTAGTTAGATGAAGAAGAGGTTTAGATAGGTAAATAACAGATAGATAATGATGGAGTTTAGATTGATAAATATTAGATACATAGATAGATGAAGATGTTTAAATAGATAAATTATAAATAGATGACGAAGAGGTTTAGATAGGTAAATAACAGTTGGATAGATGATAAAGAACTTTAAATAGGTAATTAACAGATAGAAAGATGATAAAAACGTTTTGATAGGTAAATAAGTGATAGAGAGATTGATAAATGATGAAATGTACATAGATAAATGATAGATGAAGACCTTTAGGTAAAAGATAGATAGATAGATGATGAAGCAGTTTAGATAGGTAAATATCAGATACAGTGGTAGATGATGAAGAGGTTTAGAAAAATGTAAATAATAGATAATGAAGTGATTTAAATATGTAGATATGAACAGACTAGGCTAGATAGACGAGAAGATAGATAGATGTGAACATAGATAGATAGATAGATGTGAACATAGATAGATATGAAGATAGATAGATAGATTTATTTGTTGTTTGTTTCTTACAGGAATTTTAGATTAAACTGACAATGTAGATGAAATATTTTCCTGACAATTAAAGAAACAATTCTTCATTCAGTAAACTAAGATCATCATCATCATCACCAGCATCATCTGCAGTCACGCGATTTCACAAAGAAAAGCAAGCCCTTCTTGACACTCATGCAAGTTTAATTACTAAATAAGAGAAAAACCAAAACCACCGCGATTGTTTTTTTGTGCCATTTACCTGAATTTCATTACGAAATACTTTTACACACCGCCCAGTTTGTGCTGAGACTGCGCGCTCGTGTGTGTGTGTGTGTGTGTGTGTGTGTGTGTGTGTGTGTGTGTGTGTGTGTGTGTGAAGGGGTGGTCCTGTATTTGAAAGTTACTGATGCACTACTGTAAGAATTGCGCGAATGTCTGTACATCAGTAGCACGTTGGCAAAAGAAAGGCGCTTACGAGAATTTGCGCATAGTGAAACGCGCGGAAGCCCACGCACAAAAAGGAGAAAAAAAATGCACGCATGCGTACTTTGAATTGTTGGAATTTTTTTTAGGGGATGACATGAATGTCTGATTATTCGCATAACTGAAATAGCGATTTTTAATCACACACACAAATATATATATATATATATATATATATATATATATATATATATATATATATATATATATATATATTTTAAGACTTACTCAGCACTTCTAGCTTTATAAATGTATCATTGGTTTTATGAGATTAAAAATTAATTCTGACATACCGACATTAATATTGCATCAAGGCTGATCTTAAATCCTTAATAAATATAAAATGTAAACTTTAAAAAAAGAAAAGAAAAAATGCTATTTCAATATTCCTCTATAAGTTCTAGTTTAAAAATTAAATAACTTAAAATTAATAAAATAAAATAAATAATAGCCTTATTTTGGTACATACGCACGCAAAAACTGAAGTGCGATAACATCTGAAAATTCCAAAATTCATCTTTTGAAACTCTCTTTTAATAATTGAAATTTGAAAAAAAAAATTACCTTCATTTATATATATATATATATATATATATATATATATGGCCTGACGATTGCGTCTAGCATGAAACACTGTCGCCTCTAAGTGTTGACTTCTATGTTCACTTTTATATTTACACACGCTCTATCTCTGATATTGAGCACTTTATCCCATAAATATAGCACACCTTATGAGTATATTTCTACACACACACACACACACACACACACACACACACATATATATATATATATATATATATATCAATGGATTTTTTTAAAGCAGTGACAAGGAATGTTGTTTTAAGTTCCTCCCCTCGTTACCCTACAAATTAAAAGTATCTGTAAGAACTTTGAAAAGTTATTTATTTGCTTGTTTTTCATTGAGCGTTTTCGGTTATTCACTCATCAAATAACAAAATTTCAAACCTTAATAGCTTGTGACAAAAACTGATCATAAATGCAATTTTTTATTCAATCTTTAAATTTCGCTGTGATGGCATTTTATGAATTTATGTTAATACATGAGGCAATAGGCATAGGTTGGCAATATGTGATGGGATGTTCTTAGTATTTTCTGTGTACATCCTGGGATGACTTTTTCTTCAATGCATTTCAGTAAGAATTTTTAACCCTTTCTAAATGAAGTGGCCGATAATGAAAGTTTATATATATATATATATATATATATATATTCCTTAAAAACTACCGATATCGACCAATTCAGTTAGAAACTGAAGAAAAAGTCATCCCACGATGTACACTTAAGATACTAAGAACATCCCATCACATATTTCCAAGCTATGAATGCGATTTCTCAAAGTTATCAACCTGAGACAATACGTAAATGAATTTCCTCTCTGGCACTCATACAAATAATTTTTTTTTTCAGTTTTCTTTAAACAATCGTGCATTAATGAAAAACTGCTGACCAAATGCCTCCCAAACGCAAACATTGAGATGTTAAACAAAAGTTCGAATAATTTTACTCATTAATGGCAACTATCCCATTTTTAAGACTGTGGACATAAATGGTTTATAGAAAGAAACTTAAAATACATGATTTTAATAAACCTCAAATTAATACCAGATCTTTCAAAACTGATAATAATGGACTTTTTTTCTTAGAAACCTTTTTTAATATAGGATTTTTACTTTATAATTAGTACCGGGTTTTACGGTAGGCATTCCTGGTAAATAGCGCGTTCGAACTGAGTCAGTGTGTAAACAGCAGAGAAGAGGTTAATTCAACAAAGGTGACTGTGTTGACTAGTTGTTAGGATCAGGAAGTTTTTTTTTTCTATTTCAGGTTGCCTCTTTTGGAAGTAGCACCGCAGGCACGCACACACACACACACACACACACACACACTCAGACACACGTGTGTGTGTGTGTGTGCGCGTGTGTATGAGCAATAAACAGATATTTTAATCCGATATTATTTTTTATTACTCTATTGTATTTACTGGGTACACCTCTTTCAGTAGAAATTCTTATTTAAACAGGGAAATTAATGTCACCTGGCATAGAGATCGAAAGTCTTGATAAAGAAAATGTGTCTCCTGATAGGAATCGAACTACCATCTTTTTCAGCTAAATTGTTTTAAAGCTAAACGCCCGTTACCATTAAGCTACGATAAGCACTTACAACAAGGTATATGTGTGTGTCTGGGTGGGGGTAATTGAGCTTACATATCTATAGTGAATCCAAAATAAATCGCAATTTACATTATAAAGTTGGTGAAAGTTTATATGATGATATATTTATTCGTGTGTATACATTTTAACACACACACACAAGAGCATTCATGTTTACTGTATTGTTTACATAGAGTGTAAATATATATATATATATATATATATATATATATATATATATATATATATATATATATATACGTGCTAATACCCTTGGGAAAGGTATGAATCCTCTTCCTCTCCTCCAGCTATGGGTAAATAGCAGGACAGACTGGGTTCTATAGCCTTGGATGGCAACTGGTCTAGGAGAAGGACAACTCTGAATTAAAAACCTGCGGAGGGTCGTTTGGGAACCTTGTATCATTCGGTGCACCAGGTCTCTGTATTCGTCCCTTCAGAAAGTGTGGATGGTCCTGCACGAGGCCTTCACCACTATAATCAAATCTCGTGTGCCGGTGTCCGGGCTGTCGGTTTCCTGGAAACTGATCTGCTTGACCCTCATACGTCGAATCTTGACGGAGAGTCGATTATATATATATATATATATATATATATATATATATATATATATATATATATATATTTACAGATTTGTGAAACCTAAGGTTTAAGATGAATTTTTTAAATGAAAAATCTTTCTTGAAGCTTTTCGTTTAGTTTTAATTTCAAGCTAATAGAATAATTTAAAATTTCTAATAACCAAAATATTTTGCTGTATTTGACTGGAAGGAGTTTTCGTTTTGAAACTGCTAAAATTGCTAATTTTAGCGCCATTCTTTAGCCATCTTTCAGCACAATATAATTCTTTTCATTAAAAAATCTTTCAAAAATAAAATATAGTTTTCTCAAACTTTATTTGAGGAATATTAACTGATTTAAAGTTTGATTAAACTGATTTGAAACAAGTATTACTTACTTTTATTTTAAATTATCGCAAAAACAAGACGGCAGCTGTTTATTTAAGATGTTGATAGCTTGACTGACAGAAGGAAGTTTATCTAATCTTTTTCTACGGTGGACATATCTGTAAAATTTACTTGAGGAATATAACGTGAGCAACGAGCAACTATTTTATATAATTTCTTAATTACCCAGTAATCTTTAAAAATTAGGAAGATATTCTCCGTAGTCTAATGTTTTACTGAATTTTAGGTACTTTGACATTAAATTTACTATAATTATCTCTATTATTTTTGATAATTTCGTTGATGGACATCCATATTTACAAAAATCGGCACGTTTATAGTTTTTACTTAATAACAATATCACCTAACCCATACAATTTAATAACAAATGCTAAAAGATTTAAAACGTTATAAATTATTCTAATTAAAATTTAAAAAAAAAATGAAAACAATTCTTGTAAAAATTTAATTCTTAAAACAATAACCTCTGTAATATATCTTCATAAAAGCAATTAAAAGTTTCTCCAATTAAATAATACGTAAATTTTATTGCATTTTTCATTTTACGATTTAGGGCAGATTTTTGTTAACTGATGGTACTATTTTATAAGAAGAAATTGGTGATTTAAATTATCCAAGGAGTTTTGTAAAAAATTTTTCCATCTGTTAAAAAATTGATGTAAAAAAAAGTTTTTTTTACCAAGATATTCTAAAAAAATTTTTTTAAATAATTTCATTCATTTGTGAATAAATTCTGAAACTTTCATTAAAATCCGATAGTTATTTGATTTTTGCAAAAATTTCCATATTAATGTTTTTCACCGCAAAAAGACGTAAACATTTCCTATTCAGATCTCTGATCCCACTGACGCAAAAAAAAAACCCCAAGATTTTAAACAAAATTTCGAACATTCTAAAAAGGATGAAAAAATAAAATTTAATGCGTAGAACGACTCTTATGCAATGAAAATTTTAATTCAAAATTCAGTTAATGACTTTCAGGATACGAACCTAGTGTATACACCTGTTTGTAGTAATAAAAATGTCGGATTACAAATAAATCCATCAATTATATATATATATATATATATATATATATATATATATATATATATATATATATGCCTGTTAGGATGTAAAATAGTATCCGAAACAAAAGTTGAGATAATGGCACAAAAGTGAAAAAGCCTTTTAACAACGCCTTTCACCGACGTATGTTAGGTTCAGCTAGTTCAGGTTGGAATGAAAGACAACGCTGTTTGTAAGGAAAAATTGACCATGTTATCCTTAAAATCTCAACACATTTCTCTTAGTTTTGTTTTTCATTTCAAACTGAAAAAGCCGAACCTAACACTCGTCGGCGAAACGACACGTTAAAAAGCCCACTTTGCCCATTACTCCCACACGCCCCTATATATATATATATATATATATATATATATATATATATATGCTGGACTCTCCCGTCGTATTCGACGTGTCAAGCAGCTTAGTTCCTAGGAACGGACAGCTAGACACTAGCATATATGATTTGATTATAGTGGTGAAGGCTTTGTGCAGAATATATTGCTACTGCTGAACTAATTAAGAGAAGGGGAAATTTTACACCTGATTTGAATTCTTTGGTTTTCTGTTTTTACTGATTTTCATATATTTTAACTTCCTCTGAACACCGAACGTAATTTAGTGTGGGCGTATTGATTTATGCAAAGTATTTGCACAAGATGTCGTTTTTGGAATTAAGTTATCGACCGCATTCTCCTTGTTGTTTAAGAACTATGCGTGTTCGGATGTAGATTTCTGTATGCGTGATTTAAAGCATTGCTTGTGGACATATGACGGCATCAAAGCCGTTTATCTATTTGCATGTGTATCTCTGTGAGAGTCAGAAAGCGAAATTGTTATTGAAAAAGTG